CTCCTTGCTATTGTAAACAAAGCCGCGATAAACATAGGTATACATATATCTACTTGGATGTCATTTATGGTAGTTTGACCTCTTTTGTGGCGAGGGCAGGGAAGGATGTGGTCGATCTCTGTTCTTCACCAAAGGCAGAGTAGTCCCAGTTGCTGCGTAGTTTGAACATCTGCCCCAGCAGTGTACACTCAGAGCTCACACCTCTACCCTCGCTCTTAGCCAGCAGTCTCACCCTCAGGCTCAGCCCCTCAGTGTTACTAATCTGCATGCTCTCTGACTAGAAGTTACTGTTTTCTCCTAACTCATAAATGTTCCAAGACTGTGACATTGTAAATGGACTCATATCTATAATAGTTCTTGCTTTGACTCAGAAAATGTGTTGCTGGAAAGTAGAGCATAAATCACATCTCAAAGCAAGATTAATTTTTCCTATCAGAATATTTGAGGGAACCTGACAAGCAGAGCTGTCTTTTTCTCCCCAAGTGCTAAAAGCTTTGAGAAATGGGACAAAATAATAAAAGAGAACAAAATGAAGAGAATAACTGATGTCACTGAACTCTACACGTAGATAGTATGTGTGCCAGCACTGAAGGCAGAATGTCACAGGCTGACCTCTCAGTCAGGGTGGCCTCACCACCACCAAGCCCCTCTCCTGGGGAAGCAGGCTGGAGGACGGCCCACTCACAGGGCAGTCTGTCCAGTACCATTCTTACAGATGGGAACAGCACAGAACCTAAAATACCTTCATACAAGATGTACTTCTCCGAGAATCATAACTTTTACACTAATGACTGTAGCCTCTGGGCATTCATATTTTTTGATGAAATGTCATGAAGAAATCTATAGCTGTCACTTTATCTTAAAGGATATCTATTCCCTACTGTCATCAAGTCCATACCAACTTATACTGACCATGTGGGGCAGAGTAGAACTGCCCCAGAGGCTTTCCATGACTTTAGATCTACAGCAGCCTGCGCCTCTTCTCCTGTCAGATGGCTAATGAGCTCTAACTGCTGACCTTTTGGTTAGCAACTGATTGCCTTAGAGGACCACCAGTGCTTACTGATGCATATTGTTGTTGTTAGGTGCTGTTGAATGGACTACAACTCCTAGCGACCCAGTGGACAGCAGATAGGAGCCTTGCGCCCATTGAGGTCGTCACTGTGTCAGTCCTCTTCTTTTTTTTTTTTTTTGTCAGTCCTCTTCTAAAAGGTCTTTTAGAGGGTCTTTTGCCGACCGACCCTCCGCCTTGCCCAGCATGTTCTAAAGACTGGCACATAACATGCCCAGATTACATGAGATGAAGTCTCACCACCCTCGCCTTTGTGGAGCACTGTGACTGCACATCCTCCAAGATAGATTTGTTCTTTTGGCAGACGATGGTATGTGCATTCAGTACTCTTCAAAATCACACAGTTCAAAAGTGTCAGTTGTTCTTTGGTTTTTCGTGATCATTGTCCAACTTTTGGATGCATAGGAAGTAAATGAAGAAACCGTGACTTGGATCAGACACACCTTAGCATGAACTGACTTTCCTGCTATTTAGCACTTTGGAAAAGTCCTTGATAGCAGATTTTCCTCACGCAGCACACATCCTTTAATTTCTTGACTGCCGATGCCATGGATGTTGATTGTGGATCCAAGGAAAATTAAAACATTGACGATGTCAGGCTTCTCTTCATCTATCATGCTGTTGCCTATTGATCCAGTGGTGAGGAATTTTGCTTTCTTGATGTTGAGATGTAATCCATATTGAAGACTGTACACTTTGATCTTCTGCAGTATGTGTTTCAAGTCACCACTTTCGGTAGCCGGGCTATGTCATCTGCATGGTTTAGTTAGGTTGTTGATGATACAAGAGGGGTCCCGGGATGTCGGGCTGAACATGAAGGACAGATTGTGCTGTTCCTTCGAGTCCTCCTCACCTTCAGGGAGCAAGGCTGTGTCATCTGCATAACACAGGTTAGTGAGGAGCCTTCCTCCAATCCTGATGCCACATTCTTCTTTATATGTCCAGCTTCTCAAATGATTTGCTCTGCATACAGATTGACTAGATGTGGAGAAAGAATACAGCCCTAACACACACCTTTCCTGATTTTCAACCCTGCAAGTCTGCTGTCAGGGACCTCTCCAGGGTACTGAAGAGTGATGATGTCAGTCTGGAGACTAAGATGTGCCTGCTCTAGGCCATAGTCTTTGCAGTTACGTGCTATGTATCAGAAAGCTGGATAATGACTTGAGTGATAGGAGAATTGGTGCCTTTGGGTTGTGGTGCTGGAGAATAGTACTGAATATACCAGGGACCGCTAGGAGAACAACAGTTTCAACCTGGAGA